GCCAAATTCCCTCACCTTCTGAACGAAGACTATCCTCGACGAATCCGATGATCTCGTGTCCTCAGACACACCCCATATAATTTTCCTCTGTGGCATCGCCGGAACGGGAAATTCATCTCTCTCTCGCGATCTCATCGACGAAAAGAGTAACCCCTTACGACCCATGAATATTACGCGTCCGACTTAGATTTTGTGAGCACGTTCATCTATCATCCCGTCGACCGCGGATTCGTTATTGAACCTAAGATCATTGTCATTTATTTCTCGAGTATCTAATTACCACGGTTACTTGTCCAGTTCTATGATAATCGTATTTGCATTAGTCGAAGTCTTCTCTATTGCATAGCGACACGTGTAATCCAAACGAAGATTCGTTTCACGCCCCTAACCCTGATTCTAATGTAAACCCGACAAATATAAAAACAAGAATCTGTGTTACTCTGATAAAATTTTAAGTTTGAAATAAATTTTGTGTAATTTTTGTGCCGTCCAACATCTCGGAGACTGCTTTAAGCCGTATAGTCTTTCTAGCAATTTACAAACGCGATTCGCACCATCATCATAGCCTCTAGGTTGTTTCATATAGATGTCTTCCTTCAGACTTCCATATAAAAATGGGGTTTTAATGTCCAAGGTGTAAATTATTTTTGGCAGCAATACTGAGCATTAATCTAATTGTGTCAAACCGAGCAGCGGGGCTATAGGTTTCCTTATAATCTATGTCTTCTTTCTGTGCACACTCTTTTATTACAAGTCGCGCTTTGTATCGTTCCGAATTGTCCGGATTTAACTATACCGTTAAAACCCACCTATTACTATGTATCTTCTGATCTTTTGGTTTTTCTACAAGAATCCACATCTTATTTTCGTGCGATTTCATTTCATCATTCATAGCCGTTTCCCATAACTCTTTCTTTTTGGATCTCATCGCTTCGTTAAAATCCACCGGTAATTTTTCCGCTACGTACGTTACTGGGTTACCATAAAAATCGGTTCGTTTGATCTTACCTCTATTTCTCAATTGTCTCACATTCTCGCTAGTTCCATGAGGTTGTTCTTCATGTTCACTCTCTGCACTTTCTCTTAATCTCCGGGCGAAAACAATGTCGCCGCCACGGGCAAGCGTCCAACAAATACGAATTTACATTTTCCGGTATACCCCCGACCAGTATAAATAAACGAACGCGATCGTAACGTGACCACTTTTTCATTCTCACTCTCGAGCGATCTTAATAACGATCAATACATAGTCTTAGCGAATCAGTTAGTATCGAGCGTCTTAGCGAACATTCTCTGTATCTATTATTTTAAAATATATTTGACAGTTTTCAATATCAAGATATCTCATCACTTAAAACACACTGACAATCATCTTCTACAACCGCGTGACACGGGTCACTGGGTATGCGTAATAGCATTTTTCCCTCCTCGTGAAAAAAATAGGTAATATGTATTAGATACAGATGGCCGAGTGTCGAGTCGAATTGGTAAAACGGTCAACGTGGAAATTCGTACGTGACTCAGGCATAAACAACCAAAAGAAGCAGCAAAACACACGCTCTCAGGGCAATAAGTGATTCAACCAATTCAACCAAGAGGAAACCATCGTGCAAATGGAAGAATAGCCTGCTGTTCGCCCATTCAACAGATGAAAACATCAGTGACTGATGTCAAATGTCACACTTAAGAGAATCAGGAAATCGAATGAAGCGCGTAAACGATAAGTTCCACATATACACATAGAAACGCTCATACTACGGGGAAATACTTCACTTCAATATTTTCTTGCTACGTGTTCGATCTACGAGTGTGAAAGCATACCAACAGACGATATCCCATCTAAAAGAGGAGGCGTTATGTTCGCGCAACATATCTTAATTCATATTTATTTAGAGAGCGTACGCTCGATTTAGACTATGGAGACTTAGGACCAAGGCGAAGCAGGAATCCTTTAAATGATAGTCTCACGAACGCCACGACTTCCTCCTATTCGCCAATACTAATTTTTCCCCAACTTGTGAGGTGTACAGAGGGAAGTAAGAAAGGTTAGACAGGTTCAGTTGGTCAACAGTTTCGCTACGAGAAATATATACAAAATTGGGTATCGAAATCACACGCATCATCGACTTTAGTAAGTATGCGGTACATCAAATTGCTATTAAACGTTATTTCATATTACCTTTTGACCCTCGGTGAACCATATGGCCAGAAGGAGTAGATTCTTGGTTCGTCGTAATCGAAACTTAACTTCAATTTAATATCCTTTTTCAAATGTCATGTTTTCTGAGATAGAGTCTATACGTAGATGCAGTTATTATTACACTAAACAGTCATAAGTCGTAACATATATGTGTCGGAGATGACAGAACACCGGCGTCTTTGGAATTTTGGATAATCCCGCAACATTGTAATCTAGAGTCTACTATAGCTGTAATTAAACAATTGTAGTTATTCAATCCGATTGTAATTGTTCGCGAGTTGCGATAATAAGCTTGGGCTCGCCAGTCGCCAAACGTAGCCGCGGTCACGGGATGAACGCTTTGTCTAACAAAGGTACAGAGTAATTCTATAGCTCTCCTTAAAAGAAATATTTGTAGCGGCACGCGACAGTAAACATTTCAACGGTTTTTGTCCCGTGGCTCGCCGCTCGCAGATCCTATTCTTCGGGTATGATGGTTACCAGATGCCGACGCGTCCCCACAGTACGTGATCAGCTAGCCCGAGGGCCGTTATAAACACTAAGATCTAGTTACCTAAAGTCCTTCAAACAGACAAACAGTCTTTGTCCCAACTACGGGAAGATAGGAGAGACC